AACAGCTGATAACAGCTGGAAAAACCAGACAGGCTGAGAGGCACACATGCCTTTTGTCTTACTTCTCTCTGTCTCTTGAAAACTGACTCCTGCACTCCCGTTTGGAAGACTAGTCATTGCTCAAGTGCGGTTTGGGAATACTAATTTGAGATTCTAATTAGTCTCCCTCTGATAGTGAGTAACTTTTATAAATGAACAGCACTRTCATAAGCTAATGGCTATATTAGGACTAGGACATAGGATATTGTAGGTAATTTATCTTACTTGAAAGGAATTTAATTCAGATACTCTGGTAAAGCTGCACGTTGGAGGCAGATGCATTCAGATAAACAGCAGAGGGACCTAAAGGCTGCAGGACACTTTTGATTGCCAAGAACTGGCTTCTGGGTTAGAGTGCTGACTGCTTCACTGAAGCAGTGTCAGTGTCTCCACACATTTTAATTTTTGGGTTTTGTTGTTGTCAGTCAGGTATTCACTGAATAAATGTGCTTCTGTTGGAAAACAAGTAGCTGAGTAAATAGGTTAAGTTGACAGTCCATGATCTACAACAGAATACATTGGCAACATTTTAATATTATTACTGACTCATAGTTATGGTYCAATAAGCCATTTGCCTCAAACTAAGTAATTGTTAAATAAACAAAACAGGAAGCTAAAAAAGGAAACACATAAAGAATCTGAATCAAGGAAAAGCAACAAGAAAACCACTGCAATTTTTAGTATGCTTGCTAGAGCCTTTTTAAATATATCTGAATCAAAATAATAAACTGCTCAACACATTTAAGGTATAATAAAAAGGGAAACCATGTRCATGGTTGGTAAGCCTTTGTTTTTGCAGACGTGACTGGTTTTCTCATGTGCAGAATCATATTTGCTGTGAACAAAGGCTTCCTGATTGTCATATGAAGTTGACTAGAAAGCTATCCTGCAGCTAGAGAGATATCAAATATTAATATTTGTGCTCRTGTAGCCAAAGATGCATGTATTGGATAGGTCTCGAGTCTGGATGTGGCTACAGCCTCTTGTAAAAGCCAAATACAATTTAAAAATTACAGTGATAAATCAGTGCAATATGTTTTGTCAATAATTGATCCTAGGTAAAATCAGATACATCCTCTGAGCCAGACAAAGCAGTGACAACTGTGTTTACCAAGGAAGAAATTTCTTCTTTTTTTTTTCTTTTTTTTTGTTCAGAGTAGAAAGCAGCAGGGGATTTTCTGTGTTAAAGGCATAAACATACATAAGCATACATCATTCACTCTGTATTKTAAATACAGGGCTTCCCAGGGTACCTTGAGCTGTTGTTTAATGAATGAGTTAAAATTAAGTTGTGGTTTGTGCCACAGTGATGCTAGATGATGTTGTAGCATGTAATGCATCAGAACAGTTTCTTCCTTCATTTTGGATAAATAATGGTCATAGAAGTCACTGCCTGGAGAACATTAACTGTTATGAACTGAACATTAACAAACAGTGTCTGTCCTTCCCATAATTACACACAAGTTCCCCAGTGGGTCTGACACCACCTTAATTTTAATAACTGGGACTTTTTTTGCTTGGATTCTTTCTTTCAAAATAGGGCTGCAACAGCAGGACATTTGTTGACCTTTTATCTTTCATAAGACACAGGAATTGGAGGGGAGTTCACTGCTTGTCAGGAGATCCTTCCTCCACCTTCCCAGGCTAAAAGATTGCTCAGGCAGCAATRTGTAAATATTGGGTACTCACCTGGTGATCTGCCATTTACCTCTTGGCTTTTATGCACACTGGCCATTAAGGTTTGAAGTTTTGATGATCCCCTATAAGGTCTGTTTTTTTTTAAAATGAGATTGTCATTCTTCCTGTAGTGTAACCATGGAAACAGACAGGGAACCCTTAAAGAAAGTGATCGAACATGCTGTGCTAATTAATCCTACCCTTCAGTTTTCTTTCAGTTGAAGGATGTGCTTAAATAAATTTTGCATGAGTAAGCATATTTGGATGTGTAAAGGGGTGTAAAATATGTAGCAAATATCCTTGCAAAAGGATATTTGACAAAAGCCAGGTAACTGTCATCTATTTGCATCTGGACAATCAAAACAAGAAATGCAGTATCTTTTTGGTGTTTCATGTATATATTTTGATTGCATTCTTTTTATAATATAAATTATAATATCTGAAAGATGAGAGTTTTTTTTCATGTCTCACATGCAATGAGACACATTTGCATTAATTTTGAGTCTTTGAGTGCACGWGTTCATTATTGCAACCGCATTCTTTATGCAGAGCATTATTCAGGAAAAGCAAAGGTTGCTCCCTCCCTGTGAGAAAGCAGCTCCTCCGAGGCATTAGCCTGGTTCAGGTCCTGTCAGTCCTGCCCAAGGGGAGTGACTGGCTGAGCAGTGGGACTGTGCCAGATTTTCCCCTTCCAAATTTTAGSTTTTGTGAGTATTTCCCCTTGGTTTTTCACTTCTGCTTTCCATTGAGCCATTTAATTTCCAAAGCAKTGTATGTGGCCAACTAGGAAAACAACTTAAAACATGTGGCCTGTAGTCACAAGYTTTTTGTTATGGTTTAACAGGTTCCTGTTAAACCTGGCCATGCTCTCTGATATCAATGTATGGCCTCAGCTTGCTTTTGCAAATTAAGATTTTGTTTAAACATTTCTCAATTCCATTTTTGATCCTCTTATAACTGAGAAGCCAGGTGCAGCAGCTAACCTCAAAGGAAACTTTCATAGTGTTTCAGGAGTGAAGAATGGACTAAAGAAAAACATTTAGCTGTCCAACAAGCTCGGACTGGCCCAAAAGGGCCATTCTTTGAAAATCACATGGATTTTCATTAACCTGGAATGGATTAGAGGTGGAGGAGGTCTAGAAGCACTATACTGAGGAAACAGCGTGGGTGGCATTCCCAGCAGGAGAGGAGGATTGTTCCGTGTGGAGCAGTCGCAGGAGWGGAGGAAAGGTGTGCTTGGGCTGACCATAACGCTTGGAAAGCTCCATCCTGGTCAGCAAAGTGGCAGAAACTGGCCAGCAAGCATGGTTGTGGTATGATTTGCAAGATGATTTCTGGCAAGGTGGATACTCATTCCTGTCTACCCACAAGCTCTAAATGTTTTTGACAGTTTTTCCAAAAATACATGATGTTGCTGGCTTCTTCGAGGCCTTTCTCCACCTGGTTATGCCTCTTCTCCTGTGAAAGCTTGGTAGAAAATTACAATTTGCAACCGAATTCAATTTTCCTCAGACAAGACTAATGGGGAGGGCTCAGACAGGCAAGAAAAGGTGAAATCCTTCACCATCTAGACTTCTCAAATCCTTTTATAATTTTGACATTGCTTAATAGTAGTAGGTCARTATCCACAAATTCAGGGAATTACTGCTTCAATTTTGTCACATGAAATAGAGATGATCAGAAACTCAGGCTTGTTTGTTAATGGTTCTGTATGCCAGGAACAAGAACTGTTCACCTGTTAGAGCTTTTGGGGGTTTCTGGTTTCCCAGAAGCAAAACCATTAATCTGGAGGGAGAGGCAGATGGAACAGATGATGTGACCTCTCCTCTGGCCTCTCTGGGGCTGTACCTGGCCAGCCCTGGGTTGTCTTTGTAAGCCAAATTGCTCTTCAAGCTGATGGCCACGTGCACAAACCTTAAAGAAATGGAGGTGTGGAAACTTAAAAAAAAATAYGTATTCATGTTTCAAATGTAATCATGGCATACAATTCGAATTATTCCCCTGCACTGGTCTAATTGCTATAATCAGCTGATAATGCAATCTGCTGGCAAGATTGGCCATCATTGCCATGGAGATATATTCACTGACAGTAAATGTTCTTAAATAGCTTTTCCAGTGTATTAAGAATAAAGGGGCAAAGGACTCTCATCTATACTCCTTTGGGAATTCTCACATTGCTTATATTCTTCTGAGTGCATGACTTTGCTTCTTTGTTTCTGTAGAGTGTAAACCACGACCTTCTGTTATCATAACTCCATTTGTTTTCTGAAAAGAAAATCAGTATTTCTGGAAGATGCAAAAAAGCACCCAGTGCTGTGTTCTYCTGATTTCCATTACTTGTGCATGTCCAGTGTTCCCAGCAAGGGAGTGGATGGTCTCAAGGCAGTAGCTAGGAACAGATAATGTGGAAAAAACATYTGCAGGCCCATGATAGGAACAGTCACCTTAGCACTGAAGATCTCTTTCCATTTTCTGGAGGAGAGAGTCTTTTGTAGGAGAAACATATGTGTAAACTTCTGTGTTTAGGATATGATGATTCTCTTTACATGAGATAGATTGTGCAGTAATGTGAATTATTTTAAATGACTGACAAGCTTAAGAGACAATTGTAAATATTATAACTTTAGTAGGCCACAGATTTCATTGAAATGCTTTCTGAAATTGGAGCATTGCCAATAYACAATTCTTGAGAGAGAGGAATTTTTCACATACCATTTTCTGCCGCATTACTGCAATATTAATATTTATTTGAATGGTAATGTGTAAGTGTGTCTACAGCTTTCGAACATAAACTTGAATAAGCAGGCTGGGCTTTGCAGTGTAAACTGTGGAAGGTTTCCTTAGGCTTCCCTAGAAAGCCAAATTTCATCTGTGGCATCATTTGTCTGRGAGTTTCCCTTTCATTTTCTTTTTCTAAATAACACTGAAATGGAACACTGTCCATTCCTGAGGATGAGCAGTTAATGGCAATTAAAATCTTTATTTATTTATTTGTCTTTTATTTAGGTATACCACAGTCTATCTTTTTATCTCTCTTGGGCCTGTGGTTGTCATTATGAAAAGTGTATTTTATTATCCCTTCATAATATTCACAGCTCTGTTTACCAGGTACTAARTGATAGATGCTACTATTAAGATGTATACTCCTGCTCTAGAAAAAAAATAAGCTTGCAACCTGCTGTCACATTACATGATATGTGCTCATACATCCTTTCAGACTGTAATTGTGCAGCAAACTATTTCTTTTCTTTATTTACATTAATTTATTTGTGTTTACCCCACAGGTCTCGCAAGAGCTAAATCAGTTCCTAGTCATACATATTCCAATGAAGTKGTAACCCTATGGTACAGGCCTCCAGATGTCCTGCTGGGATCCACCGAATATTCCACCTGCCTTGACATGTGGTGAGCACAGATGACAAGACTCTATGTAGATGCTTTAGCTCTTGGGTTTTTTAGACATGTAAACCAAACATGTAGTGAGATCATCRGTACAGGTTAAAAACCTTGGTGTAGTGATAGGTGTGGGATGTCCCTAAAGAATCCCCTCCTGCCACCCCACTTGCTGGCAGCCAATACCTCCTGTTGACACAGCACCCTTTGGTGCTTTGCAGGAGACTGAATTATTGCTTGACTTTTGTAGTTAGTCTGGTACTGCCATGTGATACGACCCTTGTTTTGCTAAAGACAGACTTTCACCATGCCCACTTGTAACAAGGAGAAAACCAGAAATCTCTGGTTGTGGGCATAAAACCTCAGTTCTTAATCTAATGTACTTGGTAATAGTAAATACACTGGGATATTGCCTTTCCAGAGGCAAAGGCAGCACCTTCTGTGTCAACTGTCTGCTTTTCCTCAGACTATTCTCCACCTCGCAGACCTAAATTAAATTCTTTCTGCATCTCAGTTTCTCATCTGTCCTAAAACTGTCCTGTTTTCCTAAATATAAGGTTCAACCTGGTACCTTCACAGGCTGTATGCCATCTCTGCAGCCCATCTGCTCCTGATGTTTTGCAATCACTGCTTTTCCCAGCAATTCCTCAGACACCCTCAGCAAGAAGCTCAGCTGGGGTGAGGCAGGACAACTGACTCAGAGGATGGAAGCAACTGGGAGAGTAGATGAGCTTTCTGCTCATCTCCTCATAGTTCCCTCTACATTTGTTCAGTTCTTGAGTCACGCATATTTGTGTGTGTCTGAACATCCATGAGTCAACTGGTAAAGCACCAAGAGAATATATGGAAACAGCTAAAGAAAATTTTTGATGCTTTAATAGAGTATGCTTTAAAATCAACACTGGAAATTTATTTTTGTAACTTTTCATAATTTAAAAAAGAACCAGCACTGTGAAACTGAACAAAGGATTTAAAATAATTTTTGATTATTGCCGAAAATTTTTCCACAGATAAAAGTGGTTTACTYCAAAGGTGAATAGCCTGTCAAAAATAAATCTTTTAATGTTTATTCCAAGGATGATTCTAGTAAAAGAGCTATTAGAAGGTTCAGTCAAAATATGCAGTGTTCCTGTAATAAAGGTTAATTTAAGTCATGCAGCTAATTAAAAGCATTTAAAATTTCCTATACCTGCGGACTGAGCATGACCTTCACAATCCATGAAATTACATGGGCAGCAGGGAAGATCAAGGAAGGACTTACAATGCTATTTCAGCAATCCAGGTCATTGTTTTGTTTCCTGACAAAAATGACATAGGAGTATTGGGGAAGAACACAGTAGTTACAGTAGTTCAATGATATCAATAAATGATGTTCTCTTTGACAGAGCGTTTCATATAGGCCTAAAAGATGCTCAGGTGTGTTCTGTTTCAAATGAAWAACAAACTCATATTCCTCTTGTGCTCAACTTGTCATCCTTGCAATACTTTTGCTGCTCTGTACAAACTGAAGAGCTTAGGAAAAAGGGCCCTAGTAATGCAGTTTCTTTCACATGACAGCAGTTTGTGTAGAGGCTCAGCCTCTGCCACGTCAGAAATCAGATGAGAGCAAATGTGTACTATGGGTGAGAGAAGAGCTTTGGGTTTTTATTTTATTTCTGTGCTTTGCTGGGTTGTCTGAGTGTGACTTGCAGTGTGCCAGGGAGAGGTGCAGCTGCGTGCTGAGGTCCCCTGTGCTCACCTGGCACATCGACAGCGAGCGCTGCTGGAGCACAGGCAGCCTTGGGGCTGCGCTCACACAATGGCTCTWCTGAGCTCAGCCATAATTACATTAAAGCCATTTAGTGCCTTCCCAGAGTGGGAGGAAGGGAGACATGGAGAAACCTGTCTACCATCAGATTCCAGGATAATTTGGTAATTTGTTATCAAAAGTGTGTTTGTAGCATTASCATTTTTATGCAATCAGTGGCATTATGTCCTTATGGCAGATAGTGTGTGCTCTCCTGTGTCGTTATTGATGATCTACATGATGACAAAACCAGGCAGCCACTTCACTAAATATTTAAATAACGTTAAGGTAGAAAGCACAGCTGTTTCCTCTATTTAGTGGAAAGAAAAAAAATAAAGTCACAGGGCTTTTTCTATAGCCATGATAAATGACATTTCATGGTGGTTCCCCAGGAGCAGAAAGGGAGGCTCCCACTGAGTAGAAGACCAGCTGCATGAAAAAAGAGTCCAAATATTAACCACTGGACAGTGGCTGGGAAGCAGGTGGCAGAGGCTGCRGGCTATTTTTACACTTCATTTGCTGGTGTGGAGAATTAGAATAGTAACTAAAAGCTAATGATCCACACGCAGTGTTACATTCTCCTGCATTCTTTTTTAAATAGCCCCTGGCAATAAAATAATGTTAATGAAGACGTACATGCAGTAGTGGTGTCAGGCTGGTGATGGAAATCAGCGTGTTGGGCTTTGTGATTTACTGCTGACAGCGTCTGATACAGCAGCATTATGTGAATGTATTATATTACCCACCACTGCATCAAAGAGTTGTGATAACCTTTGATAGAGCTTTTTTTTTTTTTTCCTCTCTTGATGGGGACTTACTAGTAGCTAGGAAAATGGTTTTGCATTGCCTCTGGTGTAACTTGTCCTAATCCTTGAATTTTACCRTCCTTTGAAAGTCAATGCAAGTAAAATAGGCTTCAACACATAAAGGGCTTATGGATTACTAAAACCCATATATAAGTAACACAGAAACATAGGGACAAAAATCCCCAAATTAACCTATTCTATTTGTTCCTTACAGGAAGAGTATAATATTAGTAAATGAAGCAATTTAAATAGGCTATTAAATCCATTTGATTCTGGTAATGCATGGGCTGCTGCTACATCTGGGTTGCTTACATCAAGAAGTCACTAGGGATATTTTATTTTGAAGTGCAGCTGGCTTTAAACCATGTTTGCTAACAGCTGGCAATTTTTTTGCATATCCTCTTGTTTTGTTATAAAAAAAAATACACTCTTAGTCACAGTAGGGGTAACCTAAGCAGTTATGGGCCRGGCTATATTTTAAATTCACTTTTATTAACTAGCATCAGCTACGTTTAGTGYTGCGGAAGAAATAAATTAAAACAAGGCCAGTGAAATGTTACGAAATTGCTTCTTAAATCACTTTTACTTGACTCTGTAACATCTGGGTTGTTATACATTATTTCAAATCTGAGCTTAATTTGGGGAAACCTCTTCATAGGGAGTTTTTCTATCCTATTATTAGAAAAATAAATTGTATTTGTCAGGAGCCCTTGTCACACATAGCCTGCTATGAGTTTGGATTTGACCGCTCACTGTAATTCCATGCATGCTTTCATGAATATTTGACCAATGAAGACCTGCAATTGTAATTAAGATATTTATTACATAAAAATGGGTTTTGTCTTAGACACAACTGCACCAAATTATGGTTTTTACACAGGGGAYATTACAAAGGCATCTTTATCCTGTTTCTCCTGTAAATGGCTTGCAGTGACAGAAATGTGAGAGCAGTAGTCCCAGTATGCCYTGAAGAAATGCTTCTTGGGGCCTCAGAGAAAACAGCATAGGGGAAATTAGCTCTATTGCCCTTGATGTTCTCAGGATTATGGCTTCCACTCCAAGGAAATGCTAATCTGTAGGATTAGGATATTAAGGTGATATTGCAGTGACTATAAAGGTATTGTTAATTAAACTTCTCTCACTGTCAGTGAGTTATTCAAAAGTTTTATCAGCTGGATTAGCTTTTGATTGGAAAATTCTGTAGACTCAGATTTATAGAAATACTATGGGTGAGGAAGAGAGGAACTGTCTGGGTCTATCATTATTGGAAGAGCTTTTCAGTGCCTGTCTGAAAACTACTTTTATCCATTTGGAGCGGCACATTTACTGTTAGTTTTGCATTTCTAGAAATACATTTCATCTGTGTAAGGAAAGCACATGACAAAGGTATCTGGACACAGAAAAGAAAACCARGAAGAACATGTTCAACAAGAAAGTGTCTCCTGGCAAAATGATTTCTTCAAGTTTGAGGAGTATTTTCTTGAGCTTATTTTGATTCTGCTTTGACAGAACAAGAGAGTTCAATAGAAAAAAATCCTGCAAGAAGGGATCATGTAGATCCCTTTAATAATTTCATTGTAATCCTTCATGAGTATAGTATTTCTTACTATAGAAACTGAGCATTGCTACAAAGCAAAACAAATTTCTGGAGCTTTTATTTCTAGGTGTTCAGTAAGAACATGACCACTCTATTCTCTTGTAATTACAATTTCTTCAAGTCTGACTGTAAAGTAATACCTTGAGCTATCATGGTCTCAAGTAAATTAGTTTTCATGCATTGCATATGCTTCCTGCRCAAATTTTAATGGGTTTTGTCATCATGGAAGGGAAATTTTGATTCACTCATTACTTCTCATGTGAGAACTGCRATCTGTTTGCCTTATTGCCACTGTATTTTTATCAGACTATATCATCCATCAGATGTTTTTTTTGTGTATCAAAGGGTAGTGGTCATGAAAGACGAATTCCAACCAGCTTCAGCATTTGTGGGTATTTTGACAGTGTGCCCCTGTAGAAATAAATCAGATTTTTGTCAGCTAAGGMGGAAAAAGTCCCTTGCTTTACATTCCTTCCCCCCCCAAATTTGTTTTCATAGTTGTGTTCATAAGCAGGATGATAAAGGAACATGACCCTTTTTTTCCTGAATAAATGAGACAAGATAAAAAGCTCTGTGCCCTTACAACATATATATTACTAGGATTTTATGGAAGATCCTTTGGTATTACCATCTTGGTGACAAATCTGTAAAAAAGTAAAGCAGCGGGATTTTGAAGGGGAGTGTGTGTGGATTTTGTGGGGTTTTTTTTGGTTTTTTTTTTTGTTTGTTTGTTTGTGTTTTTGTTTGTTAGTTTGTTCTTTAATTTTGATTTATTTAACATTTCAAATAGTGTGTAGTTTGGGAAGCTTGAATGAAAACTCTTTGGTTCCATTGAATTTCACAAATGTCACCCATTTGGTGGGAGGGTTGCTAAAAGCAATTACTTGTTTTTCATAAAATGCCTCCCCCCTGCACACAGAAAACAGGCTTAATGACCRGATGGAAGTATTATGAGAAGAACCAGCCCAACTTTTCACTGTGAAGGCCATGCTGAACAACATCACCTGCACTGATTCTGCTACAAAGCAGATCTGTTCAGGCAGAATATTCAATAGTTTAAAACATATATAATAAGAATACAGGGTTTCGGTATTCTTGATTTAAGTATAAACTAAAACTTTGTATGGAAACAGCTCCTCATTCTGGAGTGTGTCTGTAGTGTTTTATGACTCCATCAAGAAAAATCATAATATTAACTGAAGGAATCATCCCTTGTAATGTTTAATATGTAATGAATGCCATACCAAAGCTGTTATGCTTTTTTTTTGTTATTTTTTTTTTTTAACAATATCCAAGTACAGAGATACTGGAGATTCTTGTAGCAATAAGGATCTTTGTTACACAGAGAAAGAAATGTGAATCTTTAAGCCAAATGTATAAAACTGATACACCAGTAAGCAAGTTGATTTTAAGGGAATACCCTCCTGAATTATAAAAACTGTGCAGGAAAAAAAAAATAAAAAAAAAAAAAAAGGCAGGTTTCTGAGGCATTCAACTTCATTTTCACAGGATCATTTACTATGTCAAATCAAATGCAGGAGTAACCATTCAGCTGTGCTGGTAACTCTTGCTCTGGATATGGTTGTACAGTGACAACCAGAGTCCCAGGAAATTAAGCAGGACAATAGGAGAACAATATTAGATGGCACGGCCATGTATGGTCTCATCAATATATCAATAGGTTTAGTCATGCTTTTTGTCATCAGAGAGTAAACCACCCATTTCAGCATTAAATGGCTGTCACTTTTACTTTCCTACTTTATCCTATGCCATTGAATTGGAAAGGTCCCTGAACAGCGTCACARCATTTGGCTTGTTTATCCAAATTCTGAACTCCTGTAAAGAAGGTAGGAAATCTGAACTGAATACACTGACATTTGTTAAAGTAATATTCTTTYGTCAAAAACTGTTTTTCAAGTGCTTCCTGAAAAAGTCATTGTATGCTGAGCATGCACAAATTTACCTAAATAACATGCTCTTGGAGATGCMTGTGTCTTAAAGCCTCTGTTTGATATTTAAAGAAGTAATCCTTTTGTCACAAAACTAGAGGTGGGATGATGTGTGAGATCATCTTATCCACTCTGCTGGTAATGCAAGTTTCCTGAAGAACATTCTTAAGTATTTCAGCTTGTCTAGTTTTACATGACTGGAGCCATGCTTCAAGTCCACTGGGAGGTTGAGGTATAGCACAATTTTTAATTGTATTTCCTTAACATTCGCACTAAAATTTTTATTTCCTAAAGGCATTCTGCTATTTCTAGTTATACTATTTTGGATCTACCTACCATTCTGGGAACCATTAAAATCCTAATCAATTCTTCCCTGTCCTTCATTTTGCATAATTTTAAGTAGAGTCATCACATTCTCCATTTCCCTTGGGTTTTCTTGTAGCCAGGAATGACATAATTCTCTTAATTTTTCCTCAAAAAACAGTTCTTCTGGCACAAAAATAGTTTTTGCTTTGTTCAAAATCATCTCTAAACTGTTTAAAAATTTGTGAGATCWACAAAAACAAGACAACATTTCAAGGTCTTGTAGAGACTTTTTTTCTCATTCACAGTGTGTGCACTTAYAGTTTGCAATGCAGAGATCCTATTRTAGACTCAAGTTTCTACTTACTGTGACCCTAAAATTCCACAGTACCACTGTGACATCTAAAATTCCATCCAGCCATCTTGAAGCCTTTATGTGCTATTATGGCTTTCTGGGTATTTCCTAGCTATTTCCTAGTTAAATGCCATACTTTTTCTGTATTATTAATGATTATTATTTTCCCCTCTTTTTTTTACTATTCATTTAAATGTCTCTTTCAGTTGACTTATTCATCAATGTGCCGAACACCATAACCTTTGAAACCAATCATAAACTTAATTTTCAGGTGGGATGAAGAGAATAGCAGTTTTCCAGCTAAATCTTGAAGGTTGCATATATTTCTCTCCCCGATGATTGTATTACGCTTTTGATTTTTGTATTAGGTGTTTATTTAACTCCAATACTCTTTTATTTCAAATTGTGGCTAAATGGAATTTTAGGCTGCACAAGAGTCCAAAACATATAATAGGATAGTTTCCAACCAGGAAGTTTTTCTTCAGTGTTGTTTGCCATTCTTGATATTTGGCTCATACTTGTGTCAGGAACAGTAAAAGTGGAAATAYTTTTAAATAATGTAAAACAATACAAAATTTGGCAATATCTTCCTGCTGCCCTTACAGCATTTCTGTTCAAACAGCTAGATGATGATTCTCTGCAGATTTGTATATGCTCTYATATGATACGCTGGTTTAATCAAATGCCTGGTTTCTGGTTGCAAGAATAGAACTTGCAATCCTCTTTTCTTTAGTCTAAGTCCAATTGTTTTATTGCTCATCTTGAATAAATGGCTCCTGGCTGAAATCTTGAGATTTTCCTTGCCTGCGATGCTGGTACTGTTTATAAGTATTTGACTGAGATATATTGTGCCTATCTGTGCCTAATGAAGCACTAACCAAACTAAATGATGAATGGCAGTTTAATCAATTCAGTTCATTTGGTAACCAGCAGAAACATATGGAACATAAATTTTAACCTCTCTTTTATAAACACCTGATTTATTCAAAAATTTTACCACAACTGTGCTTTCCAAAGTTTTTTTCCATGTTTCTATGCCGAGGAGAGGCTTTACTTTATATATCTATTCTTCGGGATGTAGAATTAGAAAATAGTGATGTATATTTCATTTTCTTCTGCAGGAAATTTGACTATCAACTCTTATTGTCCTGGAATGTAAAATTATTTCATATTGGGTATTTGTCAAAGCCTGAGAGATGAGTAAAGAATGGGTTATTTACTGATACTTTTAGTTAAGTTGTATCTATAAATACTCAGCTCCAGTCTTAAGGAAAACATGCAACCTGTTTTCATTAAGTTGTTTTATTCTAGAACCACTTTCTCACCAATACATGCACATATCTCCTAAAATTAAATGCTGCTTTTTGAGTGCATCATCATGCACTATGCAAGCAATGAAAATGTATGTAATTACTRCATTCCAAATAATTTACTTCTAAAAACAAAGTTAAATTATAGGTTACTGCTGGGAGTTTCTGACACAGAAACAAAACACAGTTTTAGGAGGAGGTGGTACTGTAGTTACTGTTGCAAATTCTTGGTTCATTTTGGTATAGCTTTTGGGGTTTTGAATATCTTATTATTTTGAGTGAAGAGGGTTTTTGTGTGGTTGCTTACACAAACATGTTTGTATGGCATATGTGGGTGTTTGCATATGAAAGTTGTAGAAAAATGTATGCAAAAAATGTAATTGAAGAAGGTGAAGTRTATCATCAAATTCTGCATCCTATTGATAGCCAAGAGGGATGTTTTCGCTTAAAATTATTTTTTTTTTTGCTGGGGGAGCAAACAACTCTTGAGMTGTTTCCATCCAGAAAAGATACAAGTCCAAGTTTGTCATTTGCTTTCCTTTTGAGATGCAGGAAGTTTACAGGTTGTCTGGAATTTGAGATAGAGTCACAGAAGCTTTCCTCAACTTTTGAGAATCCATTCTTTGTGCTGTAGTTAGAGTGCTTCAGACGTTTTTACCCTCTGATTTCCCAGTACTTCTGACACTGGCTAAACTCAGTGGGATGAGGGTACTCGTGTGAAGTACATTTTGTGGGAAGGCAAGGAGAGGAGCTGTAAGGAGGTGGCTGTCACAGTGAGGAGAGGAGGGAGTCTGAGGCTTCTCAACACATTTCAGGACCTCTCAGCCAGAGTTTCTGGGGAATGGGGTCAGCAGCTGTGGGCTTTGAGCTTCTTTCATTTATGCTGGAAGAGGGGAGAAGAAAGTCCAAGCGAGTACGTTCCCAAAGTTACCAGCATTTGGGAATAGCTCAGTTCAGTGATTGTGAGCAGCCATGCGCCCTTTTCCTCTTAACTCACCTTTTCCCAGATTATTCTCCTGTGCTAATCCCTTCTAGTGTGCTTCCATGTGGTTCTGTCTGTATTTAGCTTCTCCCATAGGATGCTCTCTCACTGCCATTCCCACATCTCCAGAGTTTATTTGGGAGTGTGACTGTTCTGCTTGGGAAATGTTAATACAGAATTCAGCAGCTGAGCCTGTATTGGCCTCAGCACCTACCAACCATATTCCTGCTACCTCTATACTAGTCTTCAAACACCTGAGAAGTGTTCATTTGTACTCTTGATTTTAACAAATGCACATGCCTCTCCTTCTGCCTGGCATAAATTAAAAAAAAATAAAAATAAAATGCTGGTACAGGATACAAAAGCATTGTAGTTGGTTTTTTGGTCTATAAGAAATCTTTCTAACATTGCCTTTTTTTTTTTTTTTTTTTTTTTTTTTGTTCTGTAGGGGAGTGGGTTGTATCTTTGTAGAAATGATCCAAGGGGTTGCTGCTTTTCCAGGAATGAAAGATATTCAAGATCAACTTGAAAGGATATTTCTGGTGAGTTCTTTATTGCTGAAGTAAGACAACAAAGGATTAATTGATGAATGTTCACATATTTCTTCGCATTAAGAATTAAAGCACTGATAGAGCCAAGGCTCAGAAGCCCAGTCCACAAGTTAGGAACAGCTTACTTGATATATTTACTTGATGTATTTTCTGTAAAAAGTTCTGTTCTAATTTTTTTCACCTAATATTTTTTTAAAAWCAAAGGGGTTTATGCAATTGTGGGAAAGCTTTCCAAATGTAAGGCCRTGGAAATCCATCCAGTTTGTCATCCTCACTTTGCAGAGGATGGCTCTGGATGGCCTTATTAATATTCTATTAATATTGTAGTGTTATTGCCAAGTATTTTTCTTGTTATATAGATATAAAAAGGAAAAATAAGATAGGAAGTGAGATGAGAAACAGAATAGGAGATCTGAAATCATGCTTATGCTCAAGTTCAACTGGCTTACTTTACTGCTTCTGCAGCCTGGTTAGGCCTTCATGTGAGTTGTTTACAGGCCCTGATGACACATCCACACTGGGAGTGAAAGAAAAGGTAATTTGTCTCAAGCATAGTCATAATTCACACATTTTTTCTAYCCAGGGTTGTGGTTTTTGGTTTTGTTTGTTTRTGTGGTATTTTGWTTTCATTTTCTCTTTCTTCTATTGTSYTCTGGGTTTGKCAGYTCCYTYTACAAAATGTTCAGGAAGAGYTTTCYTTGACTGCCAGTAAAGGTTTATATTTACKCTGATGCCTCCTGGGAGCTGTGCTGGTGTGGGGTGGGTTTATTCACCCAGATGAGCCAGAGTGGATCCTGTTGGATGCTCATCGGGAAAAGTATCACAGGAGAAGCATCTTGCCTTAACCTGTCAGCCTCTGGATTGCTTCTGACCACAAATTTAGAAGGGAAACATCAGTACACCCTTGCTTTCAAAAGTTATTTTGCAAGTAGTCATCTGCATCAAATGCAGAGTATTTATTTAGTGTTCTTTTTTGGTCCGTGGGGGAGAGAAAGAAAGTTTTTCATAATATGTTTTAAAAATTTACATTTTCATTTTACTCAGACTTGCTTGTACTACATCTCTTTTGTTGGGACACCAGGGAATTTAGCAAATGCTTTTTGGAATGACTCATAAAAAAAAAAAAATCTCTCTAAAACAAAGCCTTATTTGATTGTGATACAAATATAACTCATTTTCTKTAAAATATTTTGTTGTTCTGCCCTGTTGGCTAATACCCTGAAAATCCTGTGCCATGAAAGAATAGCTGTGCTGCAGCATAGACTGGGAGCAGCAGTTCTGAGCAGTTCCTGTGACGTGTCTCATTGCTTTGTTTGTTTGCCAGCTTCTGTATTTCAAGCTGGCAACTTCTGAGCCAGTTTCYGGCTTTTGCTTTTTTTAATTTATTATGCTTCTCATTTATTGATTTGAAATTTTCTCCTTATTTATAGAACATGAAATTTTGAAAGAATAAATTYCTCCTTGGGGCTGCATCTTGTTTATTGCAGTAACATCTTACTGAGTGTTTTTGCTGTTGAAATTAAGGGCGTTTGTAGTAGCAGAAATCAGTGCTTCCTTTAGTATGGCCTTTTTTGCAATTTATCATATGAGATTGTAAGACTGTGAAAAGTGATACTGATAGGTAAATCATATAAATCTTATTTTTGATTGCCTTTTATAAACCTTTTGTGGGCTTCCATTTTTTTCTCTCTCCTCACAACTATTTGTATGTTAAAATGCCAAGCTAATTACAAACTAGGATGAGTTTTGAGGCCAGCCATTTTTTAAAAAAAATTTATTTTAAAACTGCAGTTGCAAATACTGAGGGATAATTTATTGATACTGTTTCTTTAATTTGATCTTTTGCAAACCATCACATAAATAGATAAAATTTTGGTCTGGATAGTTTTATGGTCCATTGCTAATCAGAGTTAATTTTGAATCCCAGTTAATTAGGCTTTCTAATGGAAGTGTCTAGTTACCATTAGCTAAATAGTTTCAGTGGGTGCCTTCCTAATGTACTCTAAGCATCATTAAGGCTTTAAGTTATCTATTTAAAACTTATAAACCAAAGGATTATTCTTGTTTGGCTTTGTATTTGAACAGAAGAATTAAATTCATKAATTCTCCAGTGAATCATATGTGGTAGGGGTATGGTAGTTAATAGCAMTGAAATACAAAATTAACCAGATTGTTTTACCAGATAACTAATATGATTAACTCCCACACGGTGAGCACTCACACAGCTGTGAAAGAAACAGATCAGCCAGTGAAAGACTTTTCCAGAAAGTTTTCCCGTTGTTCATGTTTTCAGCATCCACCAGTGATGRTTTTCTTACAACAGAGGGTTGTCTTCTGAAAATGGTGTAAGGTACAGTCCACCTTGACACTAATCCAGCAATCCTTCTGTTCACACATTGTACATACCTTCCATAAAAGAGGAATATTAATCTGTGTCATATCTTTGCTGATGTTACTCATCATAGCTACACGTCCACAGTGTGAAAGGATCCAGGTTGCAGCTTTTAGAGAATTGGTTGCATTGAAGTAGGAAAGTGGGAAAATGTAAGAACTAATAGCCAAGAAAAGTGAGCAAAATTTAGCATGAATAACAGTTTAAAAATCTTAAATTGCTGTTTGATTTCCTATTGTTTAGTGCYCATTATTATGTAAATGAAATTAAAATACATCTTATGTACCTTGTTTTAGCAATTATGGAGTAAGTCAGAGAGATTCTCTAAATGTTTCTGTGTATATCTACTGCTGGCATTCTTCACATATGTACATAGCAAAAAATAGCTGCAACACAGCACACCACATATGTTTCTTTCTCATTACAAATGATGTTTGTTTATGTTTCGTAAAGCTGAATTAAGTGATTGTGTATAGTAGATYAAGAACAGTGGTTGATCTTTCAGTTTTGTTTAAGAACTTTTCTCTTTAAGCTTGTCTCTCCTGACTTCTGTTGATTCAATTTGTAGGTTTTTAAATGGTAATATACACAGATTCTCTATTTCTGTTACAGCAGCTGTTTTTAATAAGCGTACTCAGGYTCTATTACAACCACAGGCGTCAATATAATAGCAAGGGTTTATGTACAGGATCTGTTCTCAGAATCAGACCAGCACTTAGAGATTTTGATGAATAAGCAGCTGCAAGTTGTTATTGTCACACTTTGGATCTGATAATATGAATTATTTTTTCTGTCTGCACTTAAAAACTTTGGTAAGTTTTTTTAAAACAACTGTACTTACCAAATTAAATGGGAATCACACATATAAGTAGGTTGCTTTTTCAAAGAGGTTTAACAGTGAATAAAGTTCCTTAATGCAGAGGTGTCTTGGTTTAATCACTAACTATTACATCTTTGCTCATGCTTTTTTTCTGCATATTGAAACTGGGTTTACTTTCTGGATAGAAATGCATAATAGAATTAAAATCATTAAGTTTGTGTCTAACCTTTGACTGAATACCACCTTAAACKATTACACTAAATGCCATATCCAGTCGTTTCCTAAACACTTCCAGGGATGGTAACTCCACCACCTCCCTGCACAACCTGTTCCAAGGCTTGACAACCATTTCAGTGAAGAAATCCTTCCTAATGTCCAGTCAGAACCTCYCTGGGCACAGCTTGAGGCCATTTCCTCCTGCTCTGTCGCTGTTCTTTTTTTGTAATTACAGCCTGTAAGAGYTAACAAGTCTCTCGCCTCAAAGTACAAAACTAATGATGTGTCATCATCATTTCCAGCAAACTTTTTCCTTTGCCATTCTCTGAGACAAGCAGCCTGGGTTTTTGTTGCCAGGTGCTAAGTCTGATGGACTGATGACATGAAGCGTTAATCTCATCATTTCTATTTGGTCTTGTAATATGTGCACGAGACATGAAAYGTTGATCGAGTGCACATTGAGCAGTAAAACCATGAGAATGGGAAAAATATGTGAGGCAATCTGTTGAATCAAAATAAAACTATACAAAATTGGAAAATATAATTTGGCTTCTGATAAGAAGTAGCTAMGGTTTTTATCAGTAGTTTATTCTTGTTGATCATTTGCTAGCATAAATATCTCTATATGCAAACTTGGAGGTTTCCAGATCAAGGAGAACRTGCCATTGTAAATATAAAATTTAATTATGTCTAGAAGTTCAAGCTGCATCAAATKCCTTCAAGCTAGCTCCACACCATGGAAAATTGACAGCTCCTTGGATCTGGTGATGATCAGAATGAATTAGTTGAGTGTTAAAGCTGATTACCCTGAGCAGCCTGCAGTATGCTTGTGCRTGCCACGCTGGAGCCAGCAACTTGGTTACAGCTCTGATTTTTATATAAGCATGTGCTCTGTTATTTGSTGTTCTTAACAGATTAAAAACAGATCAGAGTTGAATTTCTTGTGTTAGCTACATTTTTCTTCTACAGAGATTTTGTTTTTTTTTGAGTGGGAAGGTATTTCTGTCTTTTCTATTTTATGTGAGCTTTCTGAGAGCCACAATTGATCAAAGTGAATTTTCTTCCCAAGCTCTGAAGCCTTCCCAATAAAGGAATAATCTGTGCGTTGCCTGAACTTTAGCCTTGGTGCCAACTACACTGCAAATTAGATTTCACTCCAAGAATAATGTACAAAGAGTTCTCCTGGTACTTTGTAGATCTCTGCACAGGCAGGACAATGGCATTTAAATGCTTGTCTGTAAATGGGCATTCTCTCTGCAAACATACTTGCAGGAAGCATGTGCACCACAGGAGCATCACACTGCAGGTAGTGTGTCACAGCAGGAGTRGGAAATTGCTGCCAGAAGCTTCTGTCTTTCCTGACAAACATTTTCAGCAAGCTGAGGACTCCTCTCTGAAACTGGATGCTATTGCTCTGTTGGGTACCGTAATACACAGCGTTGAAAAGTAATTAAAAGAGAACAATATGCATTTGTTGAGCCCAGCAGCCTGCTCTGCCAAAAGGCCACACCAGAAACACCAGCTTTCTGCTTGGAGCTGTGCAGCAAAGACTCACAAGAGTTT